CTTTCTCCATGAAGCTCGCCGGGATCACGCTGTCTCCCGCGTGCATCGCCAGGCCGGTGCAGTGGGGCCCTGACTTGGAGGTCAAACATGGGGTGCCCGGCACACGTGGTGCCCGCGGCCCAGAGTTAGCGCCCATGCTGCCCGCGCGCGCTGAAGGTCTCAAGATTGCAGGGCGCAAGGGGCACGTCGGCCGACTCGTTGGCCACATCGAGAGCGTTTGCGACAATATGAGGGGATTACAGCGACATCACCAACATCGGAGTCCACCATCACCGCAGTGCCGACGGCGCAGTGACTCTCTACCAGGACGAGTACATGCACGCGCTGACACCCATCAGGCACATCGACCTGGCCAGGTCGATGGTCGACGAGCCGGCCGGAGCTTCACTCCCAGACCTCTTTGCTTGCCTCCTCGGAGCAGCCGCCTACGCGTTGCTCGCGCGCCACCGCGTTGCTGTCTGCACCGGCGCGCTGCAGGAGGCCAGGAACACGCTGCTCATCAAACGCGCAACGCAGCTCAGCTCCGCGGTTCTTCCCACGCGGGAGATCAGGGCGCGCGTCGTTCTCTTAGCGATGAAGCGCGCAGGCCAGTTCTGCGCGCGCCGAATAGCGACGGCCCCTTCAAGCGCGAGGTGGAGACAGGATGCGGCGCGCGCGGCGCCACTTGCGTGCGTCTGGGCAAGTGCCGCAGTATGGATAAGCAGATATGCCACTTGCTCGGCGCTGTGAGCTGGCCGCGCAATCTTGCATGCCGATCGACATTCGGCCAGGAGCTGTTCGCAGCATGTGGAACCCCAGATGGCCCACGGGCGCACTTCCTGGCACCTCGCGAGACGGTGCGCGGACCCGCCTCAGCAAAGGAGACCAGATGGCTGAGGGGGGAGGGAGGCTACGCTACATTGGCCGAGCTTGTCGTGGACGGCATGTCCGTCTGCTCCGCCTTAGCCATCGATCACGCGCGGCCGCCATCAGATAATAATGCGGCAGGCCACCTATGGTCGCCGCAGACCAGCTGCGGCCCAAGCAGGTTTCCGACATTCTTTGGCGCGACACCCGCGACATGAGGGCCGACCGACGCGTGCATCGCGGCTTTGCGTCCGCGAATGCGACGCGCTCCGTCAGGGAGAGAGAAAGACGCAGTGGCCCGCGCATCGTGCACAATGCATTCGAGTGTAATACGTCCAACGAGAGTGCCAGGAGAGCGAAGTTATGAGTGAGAGGGCCGTCGCCATCAACTGTGCTGGTGTGGCGGCAATATTCCGGCAGTTGAGCATGCGTTTCAGCCCTAGCGCGCCCCCGAAGCGCGATTTGCCGCCTCAGGATTGTTTACGAAGGGCCTGGTCAGTAGACGGCCTCATCGCATGCGCGCTCGCGCGTTTCATGGGGGGCCCGGTTTGTGGAGTTTTCTATCGCCCGTGCTATAGAAGAGGGTGGTCAGTATAACCCCTTGCAGAGCAATTATCTTGCCTAGCTCTGTAAATTGTCTCTTTTCTTGTATTGTAAAACCTGGCCAGTGGAAGGTTTTTTCAGCCTGGCACGGTTTTGCTTCGCTGACTTGGGTGCGGCTTGCACGCTTTAACCTGCGAGGCACACCAGTTTCGCTTGAGCACCCCACTCGAACGGGACCTTCTCAGATGTGCCCGAAGTACTTCACCACAAACAGTCAGGTAGGTTGGGACGATTTGAGAATCCCGACCGAAGTCTCAAACCGCACGAAGGCACCCGACTGTCGATCCAGCCAGGCCAGGAACCGTCGGCCCAACCAGCCTGGGGAAAAGGGGTTCGGCGGCAGATCGCGGACGATGGGCGCAGCGTCGGGCGCCCGAAAGCGAGTGTAACGGGCCCCGCAGACGCTGACGAGGGTCCGCGCCCGGGAGTGTCAACCTCGCCTCGGGCGTCGGATTCGGGGACGGATTTGGGTGTGGACCCGATGTTTATTGGAGGGGTTTTGTGCGAATTCGATGGGTTTTAGACGGGTCCGAGCACTGCGAAAATAACGCGTCTGGCGCGGATCTTGTTGGACCAATGTACCCTTTTTATATGATTATCATTTCAAAGGCAGCGAAGGATTCCGAGAACAAATTCCGCAGGGACACGGAGCAGGCGCGACAGGGGGGGAAGGCGCCTTCTAGATGTTTGTCATCAGGCGTTTCATTTAGAATGTTATTCAGGCGGCTCCCCCAGAACTTTCCTCTGGCGGTTTCTTCTAGAAACTTAGTGACCTGCCCCTCTTTGTTCTGACGGTTTGGCCGTCGCGCGTTTTAGTCCCCGGACTTCGTCGGCGCCGGTGTCGTCGTCGTCGTCGCCGGCACCACCTTGAGGTTTAAACCCCGGTCATGCGCTGATTCAGTCACGCTTCCAGTCCGGGCAAATTCAGTCACGCTTCCAGTCCAGGCGAATCGTGCCATTTTTACCCGACTGTCTGTGAGTGGGGCAGTCGCCTTCGCTCAATTGTCTCCCTGCCCGCTGCTGTTTTTCGCCCTGGGGTACGGAAGCTGGCCAGCTTCCGTGCCCGTGCGATCCGTGTGTTATTCAAAGCCGCGTAATTCTTCGCATTTTAACAGGGCGCCTTTGCACCCCACATCTTCATTTCCAGTGGCCCCCGCCCACCTCTCAACCTCTCCCCGCTGCCTCGGGGAGCGCGTGTTCATGTCTCTGACCAGTATGTCTCACTCCTCTCCCTTGCTCGGTCCTCAGGCCTCCCATGTGTGCGGCCCTCCTTCTCCTTCGCTGTTGGAGGATCCGACGCTCCCGGTGCACGGGGCGGCGCTGAGAAGAACACGACGAAACTCCCCCGCACGCTGCCCACCTTCATGACGACGCCGCTCGCCCTGTGCAGCCCCAGTCGGCGGGCATTGCTTCGTCCCTTGCGACCCCTCCCTCCCCGACGATCGCGGGCGCACGCTGACTCGCACGCGCGCGCACGCGCGGACCAGCCCTGGGCAGAAGGTGTCGGTGGGCGTGGCGACGCCACGACTTCGGGCCCCGTTGGCGGTGAGCTCAAGCGGCGTGTAGTTCACGGAGGGCGGCCACCTGGCCGCTGCACACCTCTGTTTCGACGACGACAAGGCATCCAAGTACCCAGGAGGAGGAGGAGGAGGAGGAGGAGGAGGAGGAGGAGGAGGAGGAGGAGGAGAGGGAGGATGAGGAGGGAGAGGGAGAGGGAGGAGGAGGCGGAGGAGGAGGAGGAGGAGGACCCAGGAAGCAACGGAACTCGCGCGCGCGGAGCTCGCCGCGCGCGCGAGTTCCGCCTCTGCGATCTCCGCGCGCGCGAGTGCCGCCCAGGGGAGCAATGTCGCGTCCCCGTTCTGTCCGTGCTCAGAGCGTTAATTACCTACCCCGTTTTCGCTTCCAGGCAAAACCAAGTCATACCATGCGCCTCCTCGTCAAGCGGCCTGATCAGTACAGGCCGTGGTTTGGCATCGCTTGGTATCGCTTGGAAGCGAGGGTGGTCAAAAGCGAGGTAGGTTTGTTTGCCCCCTACGTGCGGTCTCCGCTCGTGCGGGTGCTGGGCTTTTCGTGGATCTCCCAGCGGGCCAGCTGGAAGTCGATGGGGGCCCGGACCTGGAGAGGCATGGACGAATTTCCCAGCCGAGCGTATTCACGCCCTCGGTGTATCTCGTCGTCCCGTCGCCCCCCAGGTCTTCGGGCACCATGCGCGTGCCAATTGGCTGGACCCGGCGGGGTTCTGGCCGCCATGGCCCAGGATGACACCGGACCTTCTTCCGACGACGACATTATCATTTTTTTTTTCCTCGTATTCCTACCTTTCTTGACCTTTCTTGGCTACTCATACTTATCCTGTTTTCCTTTGTCGGTCCTCTCTCTC